TGTATTTAATGCTTATTATGTGCAGTAACTGAGCTAAGTCTTAATAGGAGATGTTTAATGTGCAACTTCCAGTTGAAGACTATGAGGCAGAGAGAGGTTATGAAATGTGTCCAAGGTCATTCAGACAGTATTCAAGATTCTAATCAGAAAATCTGATTCATGGAAGGGCGGTGGGTGGTGTGAACTCCCAGAGGAATTCGGCACAGCTGGCTGATTGGAAAACCTGTCCGAGAGGCCCTAGCATCTGGTGGTGGACAGTCACATAATAAAGAATCTGAAACTACAGATATTTTCCAAATCTGACCAACTCTTACCGTCCCCACTGCCTAACCTGGTGCAAGCTTCCATCATCTTTCCCCTGGGGCAGGGCTGCTCCCTCCACAAACGTGGCCAGCTTCTCCCCTGGCCCACCTGCAGCCTGTTCTCAGTCAGCAACGTTCCCTCACATCTTCTGCTGACACAAGTTTGTTGGTCAGGAGCGTGACATTGAATGAGGACTTTGTGAGGCACACACAGAGGTTCTGACAGTAGCATGGTAGACAAGGATGGCAACCAGTAGCCAGACTTAGGTTCTACTGCAGTGACAACAAATGGCTTTCCCGTTCGTGATGGAGGGGGTGTAGAAAATATAGCTACTTCCAGATGGGTAGCTGGATCCCCTGGGCACTGAAGCGCTATCAGGGTACAGGGATAGAATCTATCTTTTCCTTTGAATTGTTGTGTGATTACCTGGTGGGAAAATGCTGTGTAAGTCTTGACTAGTGGAAGTCTGTGTTGTGGAGCCGATGCCTCACCTCCATACTCAACACCATGGCCACCTAATGCCTGAGCCCAAAGAGCAAGCACTAGGGTATCTTGGAAAGAGGTTAACTGCATCCCCAGCATTGGTCAATATGTCTGCCTGATGACTAAACAGGGAGTGTGCTGTCAAGAGCATTTGCATAGGACACAAATACTCTTACTCTAAGTGCCTGGACCAGAGGTCCATTCATAAAACTCTACTTTTGAGCTTCTCACACCAATCTCCCAGGTCGTTTTATCCTACTTTCTGCCCATGTGACCACACTGTTAATGACTGTCCTTGAATGAGTGTAGATCTCTAATTCGGAATCTCTCTGAGAGATAACGTGGATCAGAAAACACAACTCCAAGTGTTGCCCACTAGATGAATTTCTTCCCACATGATCTTTCCCCCTACTATGTTTAAAGTGTTGTCATTAAAACTAAAAGTCTACTTTGGAGGGCTGACAGCATATCCCACATAAATTAAATCTGATTTATTTACTTTCTCATTCAGAGTCTACAGGGAATTAATATCAGGCTGTAAGTATGAGATGAGGGAAAAGGAGGAATTCTACAGGCACAGGTGCAAAGACAGGGGGAACAACTTCCATACTCACAACATGTGTACCTTGGGGACTTGATCAGGGACTAGCCAGTATATCCCGCTGCTACCTGATGATGGAAAGCTGTTGTGCAGTATTCATTTATATCTGGGCAGAGGCGATACCACTGAATTCATAAAGGACTATGCAGATCACATGGCTTCTTTGTGTCCTAAAGGCTTCATGTAGTCTCTAGCAGGACTTACTGATAGCTAATGGCTATTATCCCTAAAAGGGATGGGCCATCTTCTGAAGACACCCTGACATTGTTGTTCCAATACCCAAGCTCTGGACTGTGGTTCTGTCGGGGTTTTCTGGAGCCTGCTAGCACTGTCCCTACCTGTCACAGGCATGTTAAGCATCATTGGCTTGCTGAATCATGAGGTCACTGCATGCTGAACTTAGTGCAGAGTCTTCTTCTGCTCTGGGACTCACTCGACTCTGGTAACTTTAGTAGTGAATCAATAAATGAGTCAGAGATACTCACTCAAAAATGCACCTGTTGCCTTCAGAATCCAAAGAGGACCTGTTTGGGGGGACCCTATCTTTTAATTATGAGATTGATGTCTTTAATTTAGAAATAATTTCTCAATATTCTCCAGATCATGCAACAGCTAGAAACTTATGTACAACCACAAACATAAGGCGATGGTTATGTGAGGTGGTATCCTCAGGGGAAGCCAGAGAGGAGCAGGGGATCAATTGTATGATTTGTCTCGGGCTTCTCTCTTTTGCCATGGAATTTAATCTATGACAAAGGAGGCAAGAATATACAATGAGGGAAATACGTTCTCTTGAAAATGATTATGCGAGTAAATTAAGCATCCGGCTCTTGATTTCAGATGGAGTCATGATCTCACAGTGGTGGGATCGAGCCCCATGTTGTGCTCCAAGCTGGGCATGGAGCCTGCTCAAGATTCTGTCTCAACCTCTCCCTCAGCCAATCCACTTCCTAAAAACAACCAACCAGCTAACAAACACATATACTATATATATATATATGTATATGTATGTATAGTATACATATATATGTATATATATATAATGATACTGGGGAAACAGGACCACTACATGCAAAACAATGAACCTGGATCACTTTCTTGTACCACCCTCAGAAATAAAGTCAAGATGGATTAGAGACCTAAATGTCAAACTCAAAACCATAAACGTCTTAAAAGAAAACATAGGTAGTAATCTCTTGGACATTGGACATATTTATCAATATGTCTCCTCAGGCATGGGGAAAAGGAGCAAAATAAACTATTGAATCCACTCCAGCTCAAAAAGCACAGAAAGCCATCAACAAAACAAAAAACAACCCAATGAATGGAAAAAGATATATGGAAATGACCTATCCAACAAGGGGGTAATGTCCAAAATATACAAAGACCTCACATTAAAACTAAAAGAACAAACAATCCAACCAACTCTGGATTTTTGAGTATGCAAACCTTAGGAAGGATTAAATAAAATTGGAAAAAATATGGCCAATATCTTTAAAAATAATGTTGTACTCCCCTCTACACATTTTCTTCTCATAACTCCAAGTATACACCACAGACTGCTTGAAGCTGTCACAAAAGCCCATGATGCTCTGTTCATTTTATTTTTCCCGAGTTCAGACGGTGAAAAAGGTACAAACCCAGTAGATACTTCACACACATATATCGGTCAGTACATGGTCAAATATTAAGGAAAAACCCTGTAGATACCCTGGGTTCTGTCTTTGTGCTGACAACATATCATACTAAGGGAATCTGAAAAGCAGATCAAAGACAAAGCTGTCTGGCCTCATTAATATCCCGGGGAACCAGATGCAGAGAGCTATCTTCTTGAACTGTGCCCTTCTCCACAGAACCTACGTTAGATGGAGAGACAGCAAGGAAACTATGTTACAAGCATGGAAGAGATCACAAGACACATTACTCAAAGGACAGTAGAGTAATTCTGGCCCATATCTCCTGCAGTGGAAACACTTGTACTGTGCAGGTCCATCTGGGCTACTCTGGTCAGACATGGGCACCTGGCAGACAAGCACCTAGTTTGTGCTATTAAGATTACATAGCCCCACAGCTGTGCCCAGCCTGTCCAACCAAGAATTGGACACTTAACAAACTGAAGCACACAGGTGCTCCTGATACATCATTTCTTCATTTCAGAACTCTTTTTCCATATTTGATTTTCCATGGTATGTTTCTTTCTTTTTCCAGGCTCCTATGGGCACCTGTGCTGACTCAGGCTCCATCTCTCCTGTCTCTGGCCCTGGGAAGGACTGTCTCCATCTCCTACATGGCCAGTCTCAGTCCCAGCCATGGCATTGGACACACTTTCCTTCCCGGTTTCCAGCAGAAGCCACACCCATCTCTGTAACCGCTGACATGTATGGTGTCCACTGGGTTCCAGGGGCCCAGCCCAGGCCAGCGGCAGTGGGTCAGGGACAGTAGTCACACACACAACCAAGAACATGGAGCATGGAGATGTCATGCCCACATCTGGGCACAGAACGCACACTGGGACCCTGTGCAGAGTGACAGCCCTAAATACGACCCTCCCAAGTGGGGTTGGCTGTTCTGCTCCACTGAACAGCTGTCTGCTCTGGGGCTCAGTCATCAGCTGCTTCTCTCAGAGAAGAACCGAGCTGGTGGAGATGCAAACGGTGGTGAGTCCTCGGAGGAGGTCAGGGAGGTCCTCAGAGTGGGGTCTCAAGCCCCGGAGTCCCTTTCATCAGAGGGTCCATGTCCAGGACAGCGTGACTGAGGCGTCTCACACATGGCTCCCCAGGGCTCTTCTCCTTGACTCTCAGCAGTATGGACTCTAAAGGTAGGGGCCACTGTTCTCCATGGCACCAAGGCTGCAAACCCCCCTGCAGCAGGGGAAAGTCGTTGAGGTCCCCACATGGCTTTGACATTAGTTCCCAGCACAGTGTTAGTGTTCATGTTCAGTTCTGCTAGGTAGGCAATGGTTATGTGAGATGATATCCTCAGGGGAAGCCATGCAAGAGTCAATAGGAACCTGCTGTCTTTTGTGAAATTTTAGGTGAGTCTAAATTAGTTCCAAGTACATTATGGCATTGCAATGAAAAAAGCTCAAATCAGAAAAGAATATAAGTGCTTATGGAAGAGTTCCACATTTCCCCTTCGATTTTTCCTTCATCCTCTGATTGTAATTCCAGTGCCTGCTGGTGATGACCGTGGTCTCCCATTATCTACAGCACAGCTATGTATTTGCTCAATCCTGAACTATACGGAAGGTGATCAAAGATTGCCAGTGACTACGTGGAGAATGAGAACTCCAAGTGACAGAGTTCAATGTTTGCTTAGAATTCCATTCCTCTTTGTGGCACCTGCGTGGCTCAGTCATTTAAGCTGCCAGGTGCCCCAGTGTGTGCCTTTACTCTTTAGGCTGCAGGGAATTTATGTCTTAGTTTCCTTTCAAACACAGACACGTTATATTACTTTGCCTACGTGGGAGCCCCCCTTCCTCCTCCTCCTCCCAGGCTGCTGTGCCCTCAAGGAGATTTGCATACTGTTCCCTAAGGGAGGACAAAGGCACAGGGTCTCAGATAAAACCTTCGCACCTGACATAAAATATCAGCTCATATCCTGAAGTGAGGGACCAGGACTCATCACATAAACTCCTCACAATGAGGTTCCCTGCTCAGCTGCTGGGGCTGCTGGTGCTCTGGATCCCAGGTGAGGACAAATGGAGGGTGAGAGAGGAACACCGTATGAGGAGGGAGAGCTCTGGAGACACCACTGCACTCCATGCCTATTTTGACCAAGTGTTGCAGACCTCTGTCCTACACTCTGGGAAGGGGAATGTGATGTGTAGATCTATGACAGTCAGGAACATTCCAGAAGGAACAAAGATCTATTATGTTCTAGGAAAGACTAGGACATAGAGAAAATGAGATGTTGTAGATGAGAGTGGAAACCCCTCTGCGTGTTACAAATCTTAGCATCTCTTTTGGAATTGGATACTTGGGGATATTAATAAAAATCACGAAAAAATGATTTATCCTGAAATAATAACTAAAGTAAAATTTTTTAAAAATGACTTACCATACTTGCATGTAATCTTGCATTTCTCTTATTCGCTCAGGATCCAGTGGGGATGTCGTGCTGACACAGACTCCACTTTCTCTGCCTGTCACCCTTGGACAGCCGGTCTCCATCTCCTGCAGGGCCAATCAGAGCCTCGTGCACAGTAATGGAAACACCTATTTAAGTTGGTTCCTGCAGAAGCCAGGCCAGTCTCCTCGGCTCCTCATCTATAAGGTTTCGAACCGGTATTCTGGGGTCCCTGACAGGTTCAGTGGCAGTGGGTCAGGGACAGATTTCACCCTGAGAATCAGCAGGGTGGAGGCTGAGGACACTGGAGTTTATTACTGCTTCCAAAATACACACACTCCTCACACAGTGATTCAGTCCCGAACACAAACCTCCCTCCTGTCACCGCCCCACGGCCCACACGTGCTGATGGTCTGGGGAGAAGCCACTGCACATTCTGAGTCTGAGGAGGAAAACACTAAAGAACCCAGGGGACTAGGTGGCAGCTGCCGACTCTGGGCCACAAAGGCCTTGGCTACAGCTCAAGCACCACACAGCGAGGCCCTGGAAATGGCACGTCCTTGTTGGCAGAAGCAGCAGAGGTTGAAGGGGCCTGAGGGCCCTGGGAGCAGGCGGTCATGAGAAAAAGCACAAGTGACTGAAAACCCTTCCTGGGTCTCCCTGCTTGGACTCCTGTCATCAATTCAGTCAGAGTGACAGGCAGACACCTGGGGCAGAATGTGGAACTAAGCTTCCAGACTCTGGCCAGGATGCTAAATGGATCAGGACCTTAGGACACTGTCCTGATTTCTGTTGATACCGGGTAATACATGGGTGATGCCCCACGTATCACTCACTTTCTGACTGTCCCTGCAAGAGGTGGTGGCCCTCTGTCCTGGAGACACAGTCAAAGAGACTGGAGACTGAGTCAGCACATTGTCCCCAGTGAAGCCTGGAAGGATAAACACAACAAATTGAACTGATGCACTGAGATCTTCGCAGCATAGATGAATCAGCTTGTGATAGTTGTCCCGAAGAGAAGTCCATGGCCTTGAGTACATGGCCTTGAATCCAGTCTGAAATGTCATCAGGAACAGGAAAAGGTAACAAGGGTGAGATCGGAAGCCTCGTGAAGGCGGGAGTACTGCAGTCATCAGTGACCTTGTCTCCCTGGGAATGAGACAGGGATTCTCCTTGTGCCCAGTCCTGAAAACCAATGTCATGTCCCCTTCAAGCCCTCCCAGGCAAACGGGTCACTCCCCTGGCTGCCATTCGTGGGGAAAACCAGGATCTAACTTCCTATTGTTACAACTTGGTCACTGAAATCTTGAACCAAGATCATTCCTGTTCTCCTACAGCAAGTGACCATGTCTCAAAGACATTGGGAATAGTGACAGAATTGGTATTAGAAGTATTCTATGAAGGGTAAGAATGATTTATAACTGGATATATGTCTTAGAGGTTAAAAGGGTACAAGAAATCAACTGAGAATCACTGGAGAGGTATTCTATTCCACACAGTCTTGGTCAAATACTTCCATCAGGCTGTTTAGAATGTTAAGTTTTGTAGTCCAGGAGAATTCCTATTTCTGGTAGATTGAAAAGACCTAATGAAAGGGTGATTGTCATATGCTCTTATTTTATATTTTTTTCTTCATTCCACATGATATTTTCTTACCTGAGAAAACAAAGTTTTGGCCATCGCTCCATGGAGAATACCATTGCCAACTCTCACCAAAACTACAGAGCAACCGAGGACCTAATTTTGTAGCCAACTTTCACCTGGACTTGATTCAGGACACCTGTCAACCAGATCCCAACACTGGGTCCTAACCCATGTGGAGGCAGAGAATTGGAGATTCTTACACTGTTTACACTCTAAGCATCAACAATGGACAGACTAGCGCTGTTATTCTTACTGTTCCCTATAATGTCATGTCCAACTCCCCACATATTCCCAGCCATGAACACAATCCCCAGTCCCAAGGCGCAGGGAGGCTCTTTTGTGATGCTGGCTCCACTTTCCCATTGCATCTGCACCGAAGGGGGCACCACTGCTTCCTTTAGTGAAAAGTGTGCACTATGTAAAGAAAGGTTGCACATCTCAGCTCGCAGCTGTTTGCCTGGAGAGAGGTCATTGCCCTGGGTCTTCCACTCAGCCTTAGTTACAAGGTGGGCAGGGCCGGTGTGGTGTTGCACTCCAACTTTGGGCGTGTCCCTTTCACTCCAACTCAAGGAAAGAACTGCTCCGGTGTCTGGAAGATTCGATGATGCATGATCCCACACACTTATTTAGTGCTTGTAACATAATGGACAAGCATCACAAAAAGAAAGAAAGAAAGAAAGAAAGAAAGAAAGAAAGAAAGAAAGAAAGAAAGAAAGAAAGAAAGAAAGAAAGAAAGAAAGAAAGAAGGAAGGAAAGAAAGAAGGAAAGAAAGAAGGAAAGAAAGAAGGAAAGAAAAGACAAGGAGACCTGTGTATCTAGATCAACTGTGGAATACTTCATAATGGAGAACGAAATTTTTATTATCACGTAGAATGCTGTCAGAACAAGTAACAGGGGATTACAGAAATTGTGGGTACCAAGTTGACTAATAAATGACTTAAAGATCAAAGTTTCCCCATCATTGCTCTCCAGTCCTAAGTCTATCAATAACAGGCACCTCATGATGGGGAAGTGGCTGACATGCCACTTTCAATCCAAACCACAGGAAAGAAACCCTATCTGTTCACGGTACATCAAGTACAATTTTGAGTCTTCATTTAAGTCCTCCTGAGCAACCCAGAACCACAGCAGTAACTGCCTTCACTTATGGTCTGTAGTCAGTACAGATTGGGGTGATGTCAGCCTTCCACGAACCCAGAGAAGAGGTAGAAGCCGAAAGCCTAAGCTACTGAGATGGTCAAGAATGAAGCCCGTCTATATGCTCAGTAAGCATCCAATCCTCCTCCCACACTCATGTATGCTCGAGATCAGTGTACTGAGAGTGGATAAGTCTTCATAGCAGAGCCCCAATGACAGACGGGAGATACATTGCAAATAGTCCAGAAGAATATGCAAGTATTTCTCACTGCACTCAGGAAATAAAGACACGTCCTAAATCCAGACTCCTCATCTCAGATAGAACTATGATGTCACCTCCAGCCCCACCTGTGAGGTGTCTGCAACCTCTCTAAACCCTACATAATTCCATCCCTTCTTCTGTGACCTATATTGCTTTTGCAAGTCTTCTGCTGAGACCCAGTGAGATACTATTTTTCCATTCCCATTCTCCCATCTTCTAATAGCCTCTGGCCAGGAGACAGAAGAGAGCTGAGTGAAGGGCAGTCTTCTGAACGTACCGAGTAATGGTGTCTGGAGGTGGGCAGTGAGGCAGATGCTGGGATGGTCACAGGGAGCGCTGCCGTGCCACATCCCAGGGGAGCATCCTACTGCGGGTGCACCCTGCTCCCTTCTCCACGAGATGCAGCTGAGGCTGTGAACAGGTCAATGATATAAATCTATCTGAATGAACAACTCAGATTCAGATGATACCAAAAAATCTGTAAAATGTAGTCAAGCGTCCATGGGAAGTCATTACAGTCTTCAGACTTCTTGCCCAAGAGACATAGAAAACGTGACTGTCCTCAACCTCCTCTTGAGGTTTACACATCCTTCCACGATTCAGCCAGAAGAGTTGCAACTCATACAGCTTAGGGAGAAACAGCTGAGCAGGGAGGCAGTAGCAAGTGCAGCAAAGCCTCTCTGACCCAGGGCCCAGGGGACGTTGGGGCTGTGGCACCATCTTGCAGCTTGTCACCCGTCCGATGCACCCAGGCCCAGTCCCCAGGAACCCTATTAATAGGGCTCTGAGCAGCCAGCCTAGGGCCCCAGGAGCCTATGCAAAGCATCAAAGAGTATGAAAGTGTCTGGTCGCTGCCTTGTGAAGCAGAGAATGGAAAGAAAGAGACAAAATATCATGACCCCAGGGAATGGGATTTGTATGCCCAAGAGACCCAGAAGTCACCTCAAACTATGATTCACAATATTATCCAGCAAAATTCCCAAATGTAAATTCTTGTTAGTACCAAGTGTTCCATTTCAAATCAGCTGAAGTTGACTTTAAAACATACAGCTCTTTTTGTAGTAAAATGTATGTTTAAGAGCATATAAGTTCAGAACCTAACTGAAACAGTATAAATGTGATGTGAGCACATGGAATCTACTCAAGTTGTTGGATAGAATGGAGACACAGTGCCCACATTTTTGTCTCTGGCTGTGGCTCTCTACTGAATTTAAATACGTATTTGAAGTTGCACTTGGACAACTGAGAGGAGCCTCCGTTTGTTCAAAGCAGACTTCTGTTAGTTCCCTCTAATCAAATATTGTCTGAGTAAATGTGTCACCACGTACTTATGAGTCACTCTTGTCACTGCTCCTTAGGTCAACCAGTGTTTCAAACAACATTTCAGATCGTCCCCAGCCCCCTCCGCTAAGTGACCTATGGGGAGGGGGTGGTAGGTGAAATAGTTTTATTCCCAGCTCTACAAGGAAGTTCTTCATTTATTCAGACTCCAAATCAACAGTACTTCCAGAATTACCCAAATCAGCTTCAGGAAC